CCCGTCCCCCTACACCCGGAGCATCCCGGGCCCTGGGTGTCCCCCCAAAAGCCACCCCGGTCCCCCTGCCCCAGCCAGGGCTGCACCCCCAGACTGCTGTACCCCCACCTTCCCCGGCACGGCCGGGGTGACACGCAGGGTTCCCTGGTGCCGAGAAACGATGCCGAGCACCCACCAGCATCCCGGCAGCGCTGGACCACGCAGCATCCCTCCTGTCCTGCGACATTAGGGGCTGCACAGCCTCAGCGCTGTCCCAAAGGGGGAACAAGGCAAAGCCACCCGTCCCCCAAAACCCACGCGAGGAGGGGGCTGTCCCCATGTAATCCACGCGGCCAATGAAGGGGCACCGGGACAGCCCAGATTCCGGGGTACTCCAATTTCAGGGCTCGCAGGCTGGCACCGCCGCAAGGATGCCGGCAGCAGACGGGGGTGTACTAGAAAATCCTGGTTTTATTTTCATTTAAAAACCATTCCGAGCCTGGAGTGAGCTCCGAGCTCTTCCCCAGGGCGTGGGGATTTGGCCCAATCAGCACTTGTAGTTCCCAAAAAATAGGAAAGAAAATCAAAATAAATCGCACAGGTATCACCTGCCGCTCCAGCGCGCTCCCGGGGCAGGGGGGGGGGGCTGCGGGATAAATCCCGCAGGACTCGGCTCTGCGCGGTGACGAGGTTAACACGAACCGGGGCACAGACGCGTTCATCGGTGCCAGCCACGGGCTCCCTTCGGGACGTCTTAACGAGACGAGCAGGGTTAACGAAGCCTTGGTCCGGCATTGTCCCCAGCGAGGACGCCTGGTCTGAGGGGAGGGGGGGGACACCCTAAAGTGCTTTGCAGGGACACACACGCACACATGCACGCACCCCGAGATGCCCCGCTGCTCCAGGAGAGACGGGCTGGGGACTGGTACAGAGCCCAGCAGAGAAAGAGGGGCCCTGGACTGTACCCCCACCCTTGGGTGCTGGGATGGCCCACAGGGCTGGTGGCCCCTTTTCTCCCTGTAGACCCCCGGGGTCTGAGCACAGCCAGGGGGTACAGAGATGGGGACGAACAGGCTGGTTCAGCCCAGAGCCGCTGCCCAGGCTGCACCCAGAGCAGCAGCAGCAACTCATCCACCTTTTTGGGAGTTCTCGGTAAACCTAAAGTCATCTTTTAACAAGAAAAATCCAAGTCTGGAATAAAAACCGATGCCAGTTTTAGCAGCAAGGGGAGGTCCAAGTGCTCGGCAGCCCCGAGCCGTTGTCCGGTGCTATGGTGCAGCGGCGTCCCGGGGAGAAAACAGGTTTCTAGTGGGACAGGGAGTTGGCACCGGTGGCTGTGAGCCGGCCGGGCGGTCCCGCCGGGAGCGGGCGCCAGTAGGAAGAGAGAAGATACTTGGTCCCATTTTACCGGCCGAGGAAAAGCCGGGCCATGTGCAACGGCCACGGGATCCACCGTCTCAGCATCCGTTCTCAGCCAGCGCTGGGGGTAATGGTCACCTGCAAGCAGAGAGCGGGTTGAGACGGGGCGAGCAGCCACGGGGGCACCGTACCGCAGGCCCCCCCCTCCATGGCCCCAAGCCAAGGGAATCCTCTCATGTCCATCCCTTGCTGATGCCCGTGGTCGCGTTAGCCCCAGGGAACGGCCCAGCTCCGCCGAGATGCCCTGGTGCTTCCTAAAACTGAGGAACCAGCCCCAAATCCGCAAGGAAACCTCTTCCCCAAGGTGAAAGCCTTGGGCGTGACCCACTTGCCCCGAAGCGTCCCCGAGGGTCCCTCACCTCCTGTGCCCACGGGAGAGGTAGTCCCGGTTCAGAGAGCAGAGCTGCTGCTCCAGACGGAAGATGCGAAACGCCAGGTACGAGGAGGACACGACCAGGAGGCAGATGCTGGGAGCAAAGGAACACACACAAACGCTCAGCGGCCGGTGGTCAAAGACAGGCGTAGCTTCCCCGTGCCGCAGCCGCCCTCAACACACTTACAGCACGATGAAGATCTTCAGGAGCTGGTAGTCGGAAGGTCGTAGCTCCGCCACGCAGCTCTGCTCCACCTCCAGCTCCTCCTCGGTGTTTATTGCACTTTCTGAAACGCGAGCAAAGAATCAGCAACCGGGAACCTTCAAGCATCAAATATTCCTCCCTCACGGGCTAACGCTGTTACAAGTACACACAGAAGGCTCAGACCCCGCAGGCAGGACACCCCATCACCAACT